ATGCTTTTATAATGCCGTGGTCACATTTGCTCAGATTTTCAGCACCGGCGCCCGGCCGTTGAGTATTTTGTTCAAAATTGTATTCAATTCTGAACAAAATACTCAATCGGCCGGGCGCCGTAATGAAAATCGGAACAAATGTTACCAAGTCATAACTGATGAAAAATCAAATGAGAACATGAACATGGATAATAGGGGAACTATTACGCTGCGTGCAGAGTCTAATTATAAACTACGAGAAGACGAAACTCTCATTAGAGAAGTGAAGTCGAACGAATGCAAAGGGTAGGGTACTATAGAAGGGGATCATATAAAAGCACGATCTATTTCACAACGCCTTTAACTTTTGTTCTTCAACTGTTGCCCTCTGTGCATTTCAAAAATAAAATATCTTAATCTGATTTGTTCCACCTTTCTTTTCGCTCAGTTCTGCACTATTATTTCCATATGTTGTTTAGGATTATGTCATTTGCGAAATAGCTGTAAGACATTATGAGAATGAATATGGGAGTTTCCACGATAATGTTGTTCACATGATTTTATACACATACCTGCATAACAATCGGAGACAGAAGTCTTAATATTGTCCAATAAAAAATGAGAATCTAACATTTAATGATAACAAAAGGATTAATTGCTTAGTTCTCTTTGTTTTAGTCTTTGTTTTCTTAAATGCGGAAGTGTACCAACATCACCTAGATTACATAAGAGATCATCTAACAGTCTAAAATTGCTTTTAATTGCAAGTTAATGCATTCCGACCAAAATTTGTATACCTGTAATTGGGGGGGGGCGATGTTACATCACATAACTACAACGTTCATATAGAAATATACAATAAGCATGTCCGTATAAAAGCTAAAATTATAAAAACTCATTTCAAAGTCATTCTGTTCATGGAAGCGTCAAGTTATGAAAAACAATGCTAAACACTCAAACAAATCGACTTGATTACCTTTGAAAACTTCTTGAGAGGAAATGGACAAATGTATTTTTCTAACTCATTAGAACGTCTGTCTGATTGAAATACTATTTTTAAATACAAACATAAATGATTTAATCTTGGTCAGAAGTCTTAACATTGTCCAACAAAATAATAAGAATCTAACATTTAATGATTACAAAAGGATTAATTGCTATATAGTCTTTGTCTTAGTCTTTGTTTTTCTAACGGCGGAAGTGTACCAACATCACCTTGATTACAGAAGAGATCATCTACAGTCTAAAATTGCTTTTAATTCCCGGGTTTTGATTACATTTTATGTATAGACTTTTTTGCCTCTATTCTCATTTTTAAACCTGTTTCTGTTTGCTTATTTAACAATTGTGATAAATTATTCAGTTAGAGTCGAAACCAAAACAATTTTCTACATTATAGTCCCCTCCTCTTGCACTGACTAAATATTAAAATAAGCTAGTCTGATTGCGAATTTACAAATCCTGTAAAAGTAGCTTCAAACCGCCTTTTAATCAGAGAAAACAATAAGTTAATTCATCTGATTGCGAAAATACGAATCAATCTGATTATCTGATCTCCATGCTATTTGATTCGTGCATTATCTACAAGTCAGTCGGGCAAGGGTGAAATTATTTCATTTGAAAACAGAAATAAATATCAGAACCCCTCTAGCATAACTATTCGGAAGAAATTCATACAAAAAATAAGGTACACAACTGATGAAGGGTCGCACACAATGCACGCACCCCTCTCCTCCTCCTCCGTGTTTGCCCACACACGACCATATTTGACAATTTTTCTAAAAGCGTTTTCCCCGGGAATATAGGTGTAGCGGTTGCCAGAAGTCGCACAGCTTGGGAGTCAGGGTATCCTGATCCATGCCTCAACGCCTGACAGGTCTGATATTTAGAGGTGGCGCAAGAATTATTAGGGGGCGGGGTAAACGTGAAAGTTGCCAAAATATCCATAGGCGTAGCCAGGAGGGGGGGGGGTGCGATGGGTGCGATAACAATAGGCTTTATATATGCTTTAATGTTTTATTTATCATGATGCTTTTATGTAGGCTATTAATAACAGTTCTTTTTGCAATATAAAACTGGTATGTTTATGCAAATTCCGATTGGACTAATATAAAGGGATATTGTTTCATTATGTGGACTTGAGAAAGTCCGACATACTCATTGCTTTCAACCCAAAACTTAAAATAGGAAGTTATCAAGATCCCAAGAACACGATCGCTACTTAAACAATACGTTTGTAAAATCCCGGCGATCGAAATGCAATCAAACGCAATCAGGTGCCTAATTAGTCTTTTGATCTCTAAAGTTTTACGACTGAACGTTTCAATGAACTCGTGAGAAGCAAACGCAACCATCATATAAACATTTTTCTAGTAAATCTAAAATAGAGTAAAACCCAGGGAAAAAGATCGCGTGTTCATAGGAATTAGGCATATTTCAATTTTAAAATAACAAAAGTCAGTCTCGGAAGAATTTTCCAAGCATTCCCTGCTTCGATGCGTTTTTATTGCAAGGGCCATTTGGCGCCGATATGAATTCATTATAGGGCATTAGGGTTGTGCTTTATTTGTTTTATTTATATAAATGTTATAAAATGTGTAAGACACTTTAATGAATTATTTTTAGGGTTACAATGCATATTTGACTTTTCCCTCTAAACGTTTAAAATTCATCTTTTCTTAGTTTGCTTCAATAAAATTAACATTGGATCCCAGACAGTTATCAAATTCTCAGACATTTGATTAATATAGATATTTGTACTTCCTTTGACCAGTGGTGCTGGTGTGACTGAGATTCGAATCTAATCTGTTTCATTTTTATGTAAATTGAGAGGAATAAAGTTTTATTTTCAGCATTTTAACAATCTTAACGTTTGGCGTGCAGCTCAACTAATACACAATCAAAGGTCAGAATACAGAAATAAGAACATGCCTTTTATTTGTTATTCAAGCTCGAGCAATATCCCCGTTATAAAACCAAAATAACTGCGGTTAGGTACCATATCTTGATTACGGTAAAGACAGGCCATCTCATTCTGGTATGCCAGAGCCACTCTTATCTGCCGATTGTGGAAGGATAAAGACAAAGGGGTCGCGGCTATCGCGATGAGGCCATCTTATTTCTAGGAATTATTTCTGCCTCTCATTCCTTAAACCGGCTTCGTTAAACAGTGCCAAAATATATAAGTCGGAGCCAAAAACAAGACTATTTTTATATTTAAATCCCCTCGCCTTGTCAATGTCTATGCCTGCATCTGGTTTTATACAGATATATACACATAGCTTACTTACTGGCCATGGACAGGGGGGGGGGGGGGCACAGAAACGAACATTCTAAATGCGCATTTAGAGAGTTTTGGTCCGTTTAAAAATCTGTAAAAAATTGGGGTACTTAAAAGCATCGGGAGGCATCATATATTTCAAATTAGACACGAGGAAGTCAATATTGAGCAAGTTATGGCTGTTTTAAATTCAAATAAAACCGTTAACCCGTACCGGTCCAGCTTTTGACCCGTATCGGTCAATTTTCGTTAGCTGCGTATACCAAGGGTGGTATAGATAGTATTAGGAAAAATCCTAACTCAAAGTTTTTGTTCTCTCGCAATCCTGAGCAAACCACTCGCCGGGCAAGCATTCTTTAAAAACGTGAAGTTTTCACCATGTTGAGCAGTTTTGAAAATTGTCCAATTTGAACCATCGCCTTGTATATTTCTGTAACTGCCCCCCCCCCCCCCCCCTTGACACTCGAGTGTAAAAATCCTTTCCACACTGTCAATGGTTTACCAAAATAGTTCATGTCAGGAAGGGGGAGGGGTGAGTGTGGAGAACAATCACTGACTGCGATTTATATGATTGAACATTATACACTTATCATAGATTCGTAAAGAATAGTTTTAAAATAAACAGCTTGTTTAATGATTGGAGTGATGTATGCATAGAAGAATGACACTGGTTTTGAAATATCTTAATTATCCCATTGAATGAAGCCATCCGTCCCTCTGTCCATTCTTAACTCATACTAGTGGACTGATTTGATTTAAAGGAGAAGTCTCGGTGTAGAACGTGTACACACTAATGGGAACGAATTTTACTCATTTCTATTTAGGATTCTGCTCATTCTGTTCATATACTAGCGGGGCTTTAGAGCATTTACAAACGCACGAATTGTATTGTTTTAAGGCAACTTTTATGAAATATAATGTATTTAAAGCTGATTAATTTTAGATTATATTCGGTTCAATTTTACAAATAATGAATAGTATTACAGTATATCGAAAAATATACAATGATTTACATTAAATTGCTCAGACTGCAAACAATGTACATGGTTGGCGAATTTGCATGCGCGTTCTTGATAATAAGAATTAAAGGTTGAGCTTAAAAATCAAACATTTTCTTTTTTAAACATAATAAATCTTTTAATCAAGAAAATAAAAATAAGATTGATGATTGAGCTTTTCATAGTCAACTGCGACTGTGTCGACGCATGTTTATTTACTTAGCTAATTAGATATGTAAAATTGTTAATGGCCGCAAAGGATAATACGTACATGTAAGCTGTTCGGATAAGACATTTCTATATGATTAATAACAAATCCCGGGCAGAATGTTATTCAACAGTAACTGATCTTATTGGTTATTATTCAATTTGGATAATTAATCTATTATCTCGTCGTATTGATGTTTATTATATAGTGTTTCTCGTTGTGTGATAATATATGTGAAAGCAATCCAGTGAATGATTCAAATAATGGTTAAGACAAAAATCCCAATTTCAGATAATTGTATTTTTGAACATTTTTTGACAATTTCATCAAGAGCACACCTGCACGGAAGACATCTCTAAATCTGGAAGTTGTTGTTGTTGTTGTTAGTCAAGTACATGAATCTTTTATGTATTGGACGTTCTATCTCACAAAGAATGTTTGAGATACTGAGAAATTGTATTCCAAAATGGCATATTTTTGTGGCTTATCAATTACCATTTTTATTTAATTGCAACATTTAGACTATTTTATATCACATAAATTTATTGTTAAGAATAGGAAATTATAAGTTGCACTTGAAATTATCTCGTATATATTCAAGGATTCCCCCTACAGTTTCTGTATCATTTAGAAGCTCTGTTTCTTTGTCCAATGAGAACCTTAATGATGGGTCAAGAACTATATCTGCAATCTCAGCTTCTCCTTCAGCAATGGCTTTCCCCAGGGCTTTGCTATTTGCCAAATTCTTTTTCCTATTGACAAGAACAGTGTTTGTCTTCACCCACACAATCTCAATGCCTTGCTCCCTTGTCAAGGCATTAGCGTTATTCAACCCTAACTTTTTCTCGATGGGTGGCCGCGGAGATGTTCTTCCGTCGCCAACAACAATAACAAGGTCTTTGTATTTATCGTCGTTTCGATCATTTGGTTTTTTAAAGAACGCTTCCTTTGCAAATTGAAATGCAAATCGGATTCTTGTTGTACATTCCTGATAGATATTAGACGAATTTAGAAAACGTTCAAGTGTTTGATCTTTTTTATTTGCCGGGGGAAATTTCCAAACGTTTTCCCTGATGACTTTCCTACTAAATGGTACCACTCCAAACCATGCACCATCATTCGTGTTGAGAATGAGTCGTTCTGATAGCTTATTTATTAACTGAATACCCATTAGCCTATCTTTTCTGGGGACAGAGCAGGAAAAGTCGAGGATAAAGACAATATCTGCGCATGCGTGTATCTTCATGCTTCTATGATAACCTGGATCATCTGCAACTAAAAGGCCAATATTATTGATCAGAAGATATACAAGCAATACAGTTCTTGCATGAATGGATGTTATATATTGAACTGACTCAACTTAATGTCGAAGAAAAGCCTTCACAATTGTCAGGTGGAAAATTAAATTATATTTCTTGTATCACAGGGGAACATGTTCCTTCTCTATATTAACGGTCATTTGGTCTACCCGATACATTAAACTCAAAATCCTTCATCTATGCTGATTATCACCGTCTTGTTGATAAACTCAACAAGGCAATAATCTGATCCCAAAACCATCATAAAACTTTGACCATACTCTTAACCAACTTCATCGGGCTTTCAACAAATCTCATTTATTTGTGAAGAGCTCATTTTGCAATTCTCTCTCCACTTAAGTATCAAGAAGCTTAGACAGCAATGAAAAATCCCCACAACTGCTCTCCGACAAACTTTGCATCTTAATTACTCCATCTCGGGAATATTAACAATCGCTTGTGTCACCCTCACTTCATTGAACATTATATTGTATGTATTTTATAAAATGATCAAAATGAATTGAATTTGAAAATCGAGTCCCCATGTACTTTTAGTACGTAGTTTTATACTAAAATATATGTGGCTCATTTATGAAAATTTTGGGTTGCGTCAAATTAAGAGAAATAGTAAATACGTGACGGAATCATTACCTCCTGCAAGTTTAACTTCATTTCTTGCTCTTGCTTCCAATGTCGTTGTAGATTTATCTGTTGGTTTTATAAGGGCTGGTGTCGTTGGTGATTTTGTTTTCCTTGTTTTTATAGCTGTGTCCGGGGTAGTCACCTTCAGCGAGGAAGGTAGCTTTAAGCATATGATTATGGAGGAGCCCCTCCCGCATCTGAATGCCACCTTACCCAGGAAACTTCCAACTTTACGACAATCACTAATATCCGAACAACTTTCACGACCTGAAACTTGTCTTCTAACTCGCTCACATTGCGCCATATCCGGTACGGATAATATGATGACAAGAAGTGAATACACCAAAGTTTCCATCATCAAATTTCGCCGTTTTGCGATTGGAAATCAAGCCACCAATAAAGTGAAAAGTGTTAATCCATTACTGCATCATAAAGACAACCGTTAGTATAAGTTTTCTATTTTATTCTGCACCTTCGAATTCTAGACACTGTTAATCATTTGATTCATCAATGTTGTCGAGTTTGTTTGTCACATTGATTTATAATTCAATCAATGTTAAAAATAACATCCTCATTTACATAATATGTTAAATGAAATGCGAAATCAATTTCAGAATAGACCTTCTTTCAAGAGATAATTAATTAAAAAAAACTCTGGTGATGGATTTTGACCCCTTAATAGTCTTCTGAACTTCGAGACCAGATTTTGTCCGTCCCACATCATTTGAAACTAAAAGCCTTTGATGTTATGTGTATGTATTGGAATATCAATAATTTAGATGTATAATTATTCTTTAACTTGTATGGTAATGACTTCAGTATGAATTAAATGTCCCCCGGCCTTAATGTTCACTGGGGTATTCGACTTCCGTAGCGTACCGAAACCAACTGCATACGTTGCGTCAATAGCAATGGCCATTTTGAAAATTGTTAAGTAGGTCAACGTAGGCTTCACAAGTTATATAAAGGATTCTGTAGGTTATCGCAAAAAATTAGACGATTCTTGTTTGAAATATGAATATTTTCTGAACGTGAACAATTACATAAACATTCATTATCTTCAGGAAAACTTTATTTTATGATAATGGAGTTAATCATACTTAATGATATTAAAGGAGCAATTGACCTTTCAACATACCTTTTCAAAAATGTTGATTTAATTTTCACCAAAAATGCAACCTTTTATTATATTGTTGATGAATAATTAGAATGTGCTTTGAGATATGTTATATTTTCTAAAAGGAAGAGTGGATTCCTTCAGTGACTTTAAAGATACTGAATTTGGATGATCAAAATGAGCTGACACCAATGAATCGCATGAGTTTTTTCAATGGGAAAATAACATGGGGACACACTAATATCGGGGGAACTCGGTTTTCCTTTCAAGAACTATTTGATACATCAAAATAAAGAATCGTAAAAGTGCATTAAACATTGTAAAAATGATTGCATTTTAGGTGAAAATAAGGTCAGCATCTTTGAAAAAGTGTGTTGATGCGTTGATTGCAAGCTATCTCCAAGTCTGATTGACTCTATTAGTTATTGTTTTATATACCTCATATGTATTCTAGATGCTCATTGGCTTGTTAAAGGTCACATGATAAGAAATAGATGAACCAATTCCCTAGAAAGTCCTAAATCCCTGCTATCAGGGAAGATAAAATGTACTCATCATCAGTTAGGTCATCTGACCAGTCATTAGTACGTTTTATCTTCTCCGATAGCTGAGATTATAGGAGTTGATCGGCAAAATGCCAATACCTGTAAGCAAAAAATGTCCAAATGAAAGGACTTCTCATTTTGTTTTTGTTTACAGAGTAATGTACATATGAGGTATATAATAAAACAAATTGTGACTGCCACATTTTCGGGAAATAGTGTAAAACGTTTCCCCTCTGGAATATCTTGTCCACTGACATGTTCCCACGGGCTGCAGCCTCGGGAACTTGTCAGTGGACAGGACATTCCCTCTGGAAAAATAGTTTACACGATTTTCCTCAATGGCAGTCACTATTTGTATAATATAATTTTCCTTGAGATAATGAATGGATCTAAAGGATATACCTATCTTCATGGTCAGAATATAGTCATAATCCAAGATATAACTGTCTGAACGTGTTTGCGATAAACTAAATGAACCTTTAAGCATTAAGATATGTTGCATTTATAACTCAAATAGGCATTGTCAAGTACTCCAAGGAGGAAATAGAGGAGATAAAATGTTTTGAAACTAGATGTAATTATGAAGAGGAACAGTATTGTTTGTTGTACGTCAATATTAGTCTATCCCTAGAACAATTCAAAAGGTCTATGTGCAGTATGGCAAGTGATCTTAGACGGTCTTATCTTACGCCATGCGTTATACTTTCTGGCCATAAATATAGTGTTTTTTATTTAAAAAATGTTTTCTTTCAAGTGAAGTCCCCATGATAGTAAAAATCAATCCAACTCTCTGAAAATGACCTTGGCACTCTTTGAAAAATGTTAGGCTTGGATCATGTTTTTCTCAATTTAAACATATCGAACGTTTCTTATACACTACATTTATCAATATTCGCAAAGGAGATGTGTATTAGAATGCGTTAAAGATAAAAACCGAAAATCCCATGTCACCTTCCCATAGGGAAAACTCGTGCCATATATTGTTTTCAGCATTATTTTGTTCATCAAAAATTGATATCTTCAAAACTAAATTAATGTTGACATTGGGTCTCTATTCATAATTTTGTGAATTGTTCGATTGATGTTTTCATCATCATGGGCACTTCACTTGAGAGAAACATATTGTTTAAATAAAAATCACTGTATTTATGCCCAGAAAATACTCATGGTGAAAGATATGACTGTCTAAAATAACTTGCACATAAACCTTTAATATTGTAAAGCAAAACACAATAATTACAAAACAAACATATCTATATAAACAAATGATTGATATACTGAATGTAAAATTACACTGTCATGAACTGTCGGAACACAGTTTAGAGTGAATTTGATTTCATTTGATCTAAACAATGTCACAAACCAACCATTATTTTAGCAAACGACTTAAAAAGAGGTCCACTATGAGGAGAAACATTTATGTACAGTTAATAAAATTTGACTGGTCAATGAATATTATTAAATGATTCGTGGACAAAAAGCAGTAACAAAACTTAAGAGTTGTGTCAACATGGCAGTTTTCATAACTATAGCATAATTACTTTGGTATGTCGGTTTTAATAAATCAGGTTAACACATATCAAACATAACCTTGCGATAGTACTGTATATCATAAATTACATTTGAAATTATCTCGTATATATAATAAGATCCCTTCGATGACTTCGTTATTATTGAGTCGTTCTCTTTCTTCGTCCAAAGAGAACCTTAATGATGGATCGGGGACTATATCTGCAATTTCAGCGTCTCCTCCAGCAATCGCCGTCTTTAAGGCGTCGGGATTGCTCACTATTTTCTTCCTATTTACAAGAACAGTGTTTGTCTTGACCCAAACAATTTGAATGCCATGCTCCCTTGTCAAAGCATTTGCGTAATCTCGCCCTAGTTTTTTCTCAATAGATGGCCGAGATGTTCTTCCGTCGCCAACAACGATTATAAGATCTTTGTATTCATCGTCGTTTCGATCATTTGGTTCCTTGAAGAAAGCTTGATTTGCAAATTGAAATGCAAATCGTATCCTAGTTGTACATGCCTGATAGATTTTGTACGAATCTAGAAAACGGTGTAAATTTTGATCTTTTTTATTTGCTGGGGGGAATCTCCAAACGTGTTCCCTGATGGCTTTCCTAGCAAATGGTACCACTCCAAACCATGCACCACTAGTCGTGTTTATAATGAGGCGTTCTGATAATTGGTCTATTAACAGAATTCCTTTAATTCTATCTTTTCTAGGAACAGAGCAGGAAAAATCAAGCATAAAGACGATATCCGCACAGACCTTAATTTGACCAGGATCTGAAATCAGATGAAACACATTGAACGTTATTAACATACGAATTAATTAATACCTCGGTCATCCGGCAAGTAGGCGAGTGGGAGATCGAGCCAAAAGGCCTTATTTGTTGACCTTAATTAAGATATCTTGCAACCGCATGAATTAAATCTGACTTGCATAATATGAATATATAGATTTCAAAAATGACAATAATAAAATTTGAAGAATATTTCATATTTAGTACACTTGTTCAATGTTCTTGTTATCTTGTTTCATCGGTCTCTTCAAAACAAATGATAACGACAGTACTGGCCATTTTACAAAACATGGTCAAAATGCCAAAACATACCAAAATCACCAAATATGAACCCCTAGAATTTTATAACTTGGGCTATTTCAAAGATAATGTTTACACACTTACAACCACAGACGCAGCAGAGAGTTGAAACACGATATAAGAAAGAGAACTAGAGGCATTACACAAGATATGTTTGAGTTCAAGTTTGCCTCTCAAGGACCATGTTTTGTATAATGGTCATGAAATCGCAACCATTTAAAATAGATCGATGAAACTTATTGGAATAAAAGTACATCGAACAAGGTGCAAAATATGACTTAAAACCTATACTTGATGGCTGATTTATTACGATTTGTTACCTTTTTTGCTCAGGCTGTATTTGGAAACACGAGTATTTCCCTACCGATGAGAGAATACCCAATATTTTGTGAAGCGTTTTACATTTCTAAAATCCGTTGACCCCACGTGGCCCCAGGTCATTTTTTAATAATATCAGATCATATACAAGTATGTATTATGGCTACATGTACACTAGGTATTTTCAGTTCTTAAGTGCTTACTATTGAAAGTTGTCCCATTGAATACATACGTTACATATTATATAATATACAGACAATGGGATTGAACAAACGGCACATAATACTTACGTCCATGGAGAAGCTGCCTCTTCTGTCGCCAGCTTTGCGTCATATCAGGTACAAATAAAATTACGACAAAAAGCGAATGCACGAATCTAGTCATCGTCAAAATTCGCAGTTTTTGCAGTCGGTACGTATATATACAACGTGTTAAACGCACTAGTACATTAAAACAGAGTTTTTATTTGATAAACACCTTGAAATTCATGCTCATTAATCACATTATGTCGTATAAATTGCAATTGGTATACATATCACTTAATATTGCATATTTAACTTCATTTACATATTAAGCAAATGCAAAACCAACTCTATAAAAATGTCAAACAGAAAGTAATATGTCTACAATACTATAAGTTCGTTGTATAGCATTGTTTCTGATATTGCAGTTACTTAAGTCCAATCAATGTGTTATTATATGGAAATTAAATCAATAATTAATTATACGGTTAAGTCCCAACAAACTTTCATCTCATGTTTGTTTGTAAACTTTTAATCGGCCTTTTCTACTTAATTACAGAGAACAATCAAAATACATAAATGGCTTTTGATCTTAAAGAATGTTAAAATGGTTTGAAATGTGTACTTGGAAGATAGGAGGAGTTAAAATGTTGTTACTGAAGAATACCGATTTTATCTGTTTTGGGAGGATTTTGTTTTACTTTTTTGAATACCTTTTTTAAATCAATCAAAAATTCCTTTGTATAACTATAATATCGAGAGGTCTAAAACATGTTGTATATGCTATTTTTCCCAACAAGGTTCGGTGAGACATTTTATTTTATTTCATTCTCAAGAATTTGGTAGAAAGGAGCAAAAACGATTGCACTAAAAAAACAAAAAGTGTTAACAAAAACAGTTATATAAAATATTTCTAAATAATTTTCGCATTAAATTGTTGTCAATCAGTCAACATTACATAAAATACCGTGTGTTTACAGAATGTTTTCAATGATTGGTTTAAGAGAAAAACATTGTTGAATTAAGTTCTCCATATCGATACCACTCCTTTATGACAAGGATAATTTCTACAGTACCACTCAGTAATTATAAGCTTATATTATAAAATACATATATCTATGACATAATAGGAGTAAACATATTTATTAACCATTTAAATGCTAACCAAAACCCATTAAACTGATAAAATGTACAATAATTACAAACATTAAAATGATAAATGTAGACTTGGGTGAACATGACCATGGTAGCTTTGTATATTAATAAATCAAACATATGTTCAAAGTTAATTGTTTAATGTCGATTGTTATTCATCAGTCGACAATCATATCATATAGTGCTTTGATATTATTGGTTACAATTAAAATTATCTCGTATATACTCTAAGATTCCTTCGACTGCGTCGTTATTATTAAGCCTTTCCCTTTCTTGGTCCAAAGAGAACCTTAAAGCAGGATTCGGAACTATATCTGCAATCTCAGTGTCTCCTAAAGCAATAGCTGTCTCTAAACCAAATATTTTTTTCCTATTGACAAGAACGGTATTTGTCTTGACCCAAGCAATTTGAATCCCTTGCTCCCTTGTCAAGGCATTGGCATAATCTATCGATAGTTTTTTCTCGATGGGCGGGCGCGGTGATGTTCTCCCGTCGCCAACGACGATTATAAGATCTTTGTATTCATCGTCGTTTCGATCATTTGGTTCCTTGAAGAAACTTTCATTTGCAAATTGAAATGCAAATCGTATTCTAGTTCTACAAGGCTGACTGATATCATACAAATCTATAAAACTGTGAAGGCTTTGATCTTTTTTATTTGCCGGGGGAAATCTCCAAACTTGTTCCCTGATGACTTTCTTACTAAATGGTACCACTCCAAACCATGCACCGCCAGTCGTATTAAGAATGAGTCGTTTTTCCAATTGGTCTATTAACTGAATACCCTTTAATCTATCCTTTCTTGGAACGGAGCAGGAAAAGTCAAGAACAAATACAATGTCTGCACACACCTTAATGGGTTCAGGATCTAAAATCAAATTAAAAAGGTTTTTAAGGATTTTTTAATTTACATACTTTTTGATATCGTGAAATGAAATTTAAATAGAATGAATTCAATCTACTCATATTAAATGAATAATTATAACTATTAATAAGTGTAACTACTTTACAGTTGTTCAAGCCTATTTATAAACTTCAAAAACTTCGGAACTTTCAAAATTACTAAAACAATCATCCAATATATGAGTAAGTGATAAATTCTTATTTTTCATAGCAAGTAAGCTTAACAGTGTATTGATTAATAAATAAAAAACTTTTCATGATCAGTAGATGGATATTCTGTATATTTGATGCCGGTTATCCTAACTCGATTAATAGCAAAAATACTTAATTTGTATGACCATTTTTTAACATGTTTTAAAACTACCCAAAATAGAATGGGCAATAAACACATGGGTTCAAGCATTACCTGTTATAGCTCTATCTGCAAATATCCACTCCTTGCCATGATTACAAGGGTCACTTATGGGCTTCTCCCATGAATTTTGTTTTGAAAGATGACACACTTTAACCTCAGCATTGTATTCAATGGACCGGCATTCAAATCTGGTCTCCTTTATACATAGTTTCTTGCATAATCTTGTGCTTTTGATATCCTGTATAACACGGTCGTAGTAGTTCACTACGCATGGGTCAGGCACATCCATCCAGTTTTCATCTTCAAATTTTTCATCTTCAATTTAAGAAAAAGGTTGGTTTAAATAATATAAAGAAAAACAATATTAATGATTCTAAAATAAACAACTGGATTGTCTTTTCGAAAACCACACTGGAAATAACAAAATTTTTAAAATAGGTTGAGTCAACTAAGACAATTTAAGACATCAGGCATTCAGGATGATTTAGCAACTCTGAAACATCTGAAAGAAACATGACGGATACAGTATACTGCTTGGTGACCTTGGAGTGGATATTAATCTGCGCAAGATCGTCCATTCTTGTTTTTTGTTGACACGGCAGTGTGGTGTGTTGTTCTCGACTTCGTAAAGGAAATATTATCAAAGTTTTATCAAAGCTCATGAATAACATCCTCCGATCACAGGGCTTCAAAATCCAGAATATCTTTTTTTTTTTTTTTTTTTTTTATTTATTAAAATCATATAAACATATATACATATAAGTGATAATGACACCCTAGTGGGTGTATGTCTTATCACAAGCTAAAATATTTAAAAATGGCATATTGTTAGTTACAATATAATATTTCTGAAGAAGGAGGTACGTATTCTGGACACCTGCTTAGGAGGATGATGAATAAGAATGGGCGATTCTACCCAGGTACTCATGGGAACCTTTATGTTTGAATTGAAATTCCCCTAAATACATGATTGTATATTATTTCACAAGTTCCCAAACACAATTACCATGAATCGTAAATTACAATTTTTAATGTGAAATTTATTTCTCAGCGACATTTACGATCTTCAGGAAATATCTTTATCCATCAATAACTATCAGTTTAATTGCAAAGGTCCGATGATTTATTGACTAATTCACTCCATCATTATTGATTTTAATGACCTTTATGTATGCATATACTGGACATCGGATTTGGCCAATTAATCATAGCGTTCTTTCCAACTAAGCTGGTTCAGGTTGGACATCTATTGGCTGATTGTTAGTTTTGCTTCAAGACTGTGTACCCCAATGTACTTCTCCTGGGGGGAGTCACAGTCTTGAGAGTGTATATGTCAATGACATATGCTCATAATTGTTTGTGCATAGCCAGGCAGGAAACGGGCAAAATGTATTCGAACTATATTTTCGCCTTGCCTATTTGTAGTCCTGGCTACGCCCCTGATATAACTAAGTTAATCATACCTAACTATTTATATTGCAAACAACAGGGAATGATAAGGGTCTACAGTCTCTTTATTCTTATTCATTTTTCAATTTTATGTTTTCTCTTGATTCGTCAATGTAAATTATGCGCTAAAATAGCATAGAAATGTGTAATTTTACCTGATGGTGTTTCCATCGTAGTTGTTGTAGTTGGCGTTGTTGTAGTTGGCGTTGTTGTTGTTGTTGTAATTGTTGTTGTTGGCGATGGCGTTGTGGTAGTGGAGGTCGTCGTTGTAGTTGTTGTCGCGAAAGATGGTAAAACTAGACAGTATTTTGTTCCACATTGATATGCGACCTTCCCCAGGAATTCCCCAACTTTTATACAATTGCCTAATTCTGAACATCCCTGTCTGAGGGCGGGTTGTCTTCTTACTCTTCCACCGTGTGTCATCTCCGACACGAGAGACAGTGCGAAAAGGAACGACTGTATCAACCTAATCATCATGAGAATTTACCGGCCGTTTTAGCAATTGAAAATAGAAAAACTACTATACTCGACTCAAAGAGGAATTAACCTCGTTATCTATAGTATATAATTACTCGTTTATGATTTGTCAACGTCCCTTGAGCTGTTTGCCTTATTAAGGCATATTTACCATATTAGGACATATTTTTACTTAATGGTGCAAATAGACAGCCTCGTTTACATAAATGTCTGCAAAGTTGTTGTCCAATATTAATAGAACTCATAGAATATGGTACGATTAAGCAATAATCCAAATGAACGTTTAGCGCAATTTTTACAACGGTTGTGGGCTGCAACTACAAATTGCACATCAGTATTTTCTTTTCATGTTTTAATGATTCATAAATTTACACAGGTAATTTACTAGTGACAAAAAGAGAGAAATGTTCTTACTCACGTAAAAAGGACAATTTATAACAGATCGAACACAATCGATAAATTCGTAAAATGAGCGAGCGAATGCACAAATCGCTAGGACAGTCTTTACTATTTATAAGAAAGAGTTTGCTGTAGCTTAGCGATACTTTGTTTTACCCATAAATCGTCACTGGACCTTTAATAACTTCTTCTAGACGCAAATTCATGCATCTCACTTCCAAGATGGAAACTGGCTTTCAAACCTTTTCAAAGGATTTAAAGTTAATTTACCTTTTGAAAAGATAAACCTCACCTACTTTTTCAAATCATACAATGGACGATTCTGTTCAAAGCAAATGCATACTCAGTTACCTAAGGGCAAGTAAGGCCAACTTATAATGAACAACATTAAAAATATTTGTGGAGGAAAAATAATCCATCGGCGTGTGTTTACAATATCTCTTCAGCAATTAAATGAGGCCGTCGTGTTTCCAATTAATTCTATGTTTTAAGTCCTGTTATGAGAAAACAGGAAAAACAAAAATTAAAAAAATAAAGTTCATTCTTGGGTATTTCCCTGTTAGACGCCTTCAACTGAGCAAATGAAAGGGGCTTGGCAGCTTTGCTTTAGCTTGTAAAATTTGTAAATAAAGTAATATTTTTGTCTTTTAATAGAAACACTTAGTCTATTTATATTTTATGATCTTAGAAATATTACATCTCGTGTTGCAAATTTCATTTCAATGACAAATGATGAGATCTTACTGCGGACTTTCAGACTAGGTTTGCTAGTCCTTCAGAAGATTTTTTATTTTAAACGTTTTTCACGAAAAAACGACTGACAAATGAACAGAATGGATGACAACGAAGATAAGTTCATGAAAAGTTATGTTGACTTCTTCGTTGACAAGAATGGATGACAACGAAGATATAGGGCGCTTTCCAGTGCGAGTACGTTCATGAAACGTTATGTTGACGTCTCCGTTGAACAGAATGGATGACATCGAGGATATAGGGCGCTTTCCAGTGCGAGTACGTTCATGAAAAGTTATGTTGACGTCTCTGTTGAACAGAATGGATGACATCGAAGATATGGAGCGCTTTCCAGTGCGAGTACGTTCATGAAAAGTTATGTTGACGTCTCTGTTGAACAGAATGGATGACATCGAAGATATGGAACGCTTTCCAATGCGAGTACGTTCATGAAAAGTTATAATGACGTCTCCGTTCCAGTACAGGGACGCTTAACGTATATTTTACTCTGAATGACCTAATTGATATTGTTCCAGTTAATATGTATTCATTCTATTAATCAAGCTATTATCTACTTTGCTTTATTTTGCTTTGCTTTTGAACACAATCTCACGTTCAACAGATTGTAGAAACATCAAAATGATATACAGGAATGACAAAATTGCAAACAACTTGCAATTGTATAGTTGACCTACCAATCTATTCCTTACAATCTCAGACATAATATCGCAAAAATGATGCACGATATGTCATAAATTAGTGAAGTTGACAATGATGAACTAAAGACAAACGCCCACAAGTCTTAAAATAATATAGATGAACACCTGAATAACAAAATCAAATGACCTCACGTTCAGTCGGCCTGGACCAAGTGTAAGAGTATATTAAAGCAATGGAAAGTTCCGGTAGTTAAGAAAATACATCACCAAGAAAATGCATTTTCTAAAATTTTGGGGCTCCCAGAGGGTAAATTTAAATTTCACTTTTAGATTTTTATGAAACAAATTGCCTACATCATTATGTATGTTGTAATATTATACATTACTTATACTGGATGAGCGTGGTGTAAAAGTGGTTTTGAAAAATAGCAAATTTCTCTTTATGTAGGTAACTTGTGGTTTATGATTCTACATTGATTCTGAAAATACTGGTGTCTAGTTTTTCAGCGTTTTGGAAATATTCAGATTTATACCCCCCTTGTTTGATTTTGAGGGGGGTACTAGGAAGGCCATGTAAAATTCCTAGATTTTACAACCAATCATTTTGATATTTACAGGTAATCATGTACTTATCATGTCCTACGAAAGTAATAAGTTTCATCAAAGTTAGTCAACTGGTTGCTATGGAAACGGAGATCATATGTCAAAAAGTACACAATTTCGTCAAAATGTAAGACACCCCATGAGACAAAACACATATTATTTTCATGAAATTGGGAAGCAACACCATGAAAACATTTTAGAAAACTTATTCATAGTGTGGTTGATAATATTAAATCAACTGCCGTTTTATCTTATCCACACAGTGAAATCTATTGCTCATGATTATATGGCAATGCAAATTAATTTAGAAAGGAGATGTGGCACTTTTCCAAAGAATTCTTAACTTGTGTCCAAATTTTTGAAGAAAATGAATAACCAATGTCCTGTTATTTACAGATATTATTCACATCATTATGTTTGACTATCATGAAAAGTTTCATCAGTGTTGGTTTACTGGTTACTATATTTGTATGTATATCTTTATTGCCCTTTATGAAAAGGAGATACATGTATACGGTGTACAATGAAAATAATGCTGATATAACATTAATGTTAAATGAACATAGAATAAAAATATATACAATATATAAAACACACTTTATACGTTAGATGAGTGCTAACCATCTTCCCCAATGTCGATGTAAGCATCTCATCTAATGAACCACAGACGATATAAGATGCAACCGCTACCTCATCGTCCAATTACAACCCTCAATGAGATCATTTATGCAGAGATCATAATTGAAAAAGTAAAAAAGGTTAGGTTAAGAAAGGTTAAGTATGTACATACAATTTTATACATTATATAATACACTTATCTCATTAGTTGAGTGCAAATCATCTTCCCCAAGGTCGATGTAAGCATCTCATCCAATGAACCACAGACGATATAAGATGCTACCGCTACCTCATCGTCCAATTACAACCCTTAATGAGATCATTTTGTGCAGAGATCATAATAGAAAAAGTAAAAAAGGTTAAGTATTTACATACGTTTTATACATTATATAATACACTTATCTCATTAGTTGAGTGCAAACCATCTTCCCCAAGGTCGATGTAAGCATCTCATCCAATGAACCACAGACGATATAAGATGCTACCGCTACCTCATCGTCCAATTACAACCCTTAATGAGATCATTTTGTGCAAAGATCATAATTGAAAAAGTAAAAAAGGTTAAGTATGTACATACGTTTTATACATTATATAATACACTTATCTCATTAGTTGAGTGCAATTCATCTTCCCCAAGGTCGATGTAAGCATCTCATCCAATGAACCACAGACGTTATAAGATGCTACCGCTACCTCATCGTCCAATTACAACCATTTGAGAGATCATTTGTTCAGAGATCACAATTGACAGTAGATATAGATTAAGTATGTACATATAGTTTATACCTTATGTATATAAAATATATAGATAGATATAAAATACTTGACGCATTAATCAACAGATTTTAACCCATGGTTTGCATTAAAACGCATCCGAAATCATATAAGTCAGTTATGAGTTGCATTGAAAGCACGAAGCACGGAGGTGGTATTGCTCTTGCACGATAGTATGCAGATGTATACCCCTTGGTATGATTTTTAATGGGGGTACAATGAAAGCCATCTATAATTCCTAGAATATACAGCCAATCATCTTGATATTTACAGCTAATCGTCTACATATCATGTCTTACAACCATGACAATTTTCATCAATGTGTATCAATTGGTTGCTATGGAAACATACATCATTTTTTCAAAAGTACACATTGAGGGAGGTACTATGAAAGCCATATATAATTCCTAGAATATCTAACCAATCATCTTGTTATTGACAGGTAGTTATCTACTCACCATGTTCTTCCACTATGACAAAGTTCATAAATGCGGGGCAAATGGTTGCTATGGTAACAGAAATCATTTGTTAAAAAGTACACATTAGGGCGTACTATGAAAGCCATTTATAATTCCTTAAACATCAAAACAATTATTATGATATTTATAGACAATCTACTACTTATCATGTCCTACCATGATGATAAGTCTCATCAATGTGGGTCAAATGTGGGTAGAAATCTATTTGTTAAAAAAGTACACATTTCGTAAAATTTTAAGACACACCCTAAGACATTGAAAATCTTCATCAAATTGGGAGGAATTAGCATGAAAACATTAAAAAAAACTATTTTGAGTATGTCTGATAATATTTAATCAATTGATATTTCATCTGGGTCATTTGATGTATTGTATTTGCTTATGATAATAAAACTATGCAGAATGCGGCTGTCACATTATGCGTAGGGACATAGTAAATTATGAACTGATCTCACTTAGTCATCTTTTATACCATTTGCATCAAAATCCTCATTCATAGATCTTTCAATGTCTACTTCTGTCAAAGCATCCGTTGCAATCTTTATGTGACTATATGTCTATGAGATCATCAAGTGGAATGGGTTGGTTTGGCCAATTTGGCTCTATTTTGCCATCAACAATCAAGTTACCACGTCACTTGTAATAAACAAACTAAGAGATATACAACTATTACACCCAATTAAAAATACTAGAAATGCTTCTTAATGAATTCTAAAAACAATGAACAGTTGAAAAAAACCAGCAGACGTGAAACAGTTGAGAACAACAGCATGTATTAC